ACTCTACAGGAAATCCATCTGGACCTAGGGCTTTATTATGCTACATTAGGAAAACCGCCTTTCTAAATTCCTCCTCGGAGTATGGGGCTGTTAGAAGGGTATTTCCACATGAGAGACCTGGGGGATGTCATCTATTCGGGATTCATCCATCAAGAAGTTTCCTTCCTCTGGTGCTCCGAATAGATTTTTGTAATAAGTAGTGATATAAGATTTAAGTTGCTCATGTCCCACAATCGTGCCCTCATCCTGTTGTAGTGAATGAATAATTTTCTTCCGGTGTCTGCCATTGGCGACTCCATGAAAATATCTAGTACTCGAATCACCTTTCAGGATAACTGAGAGTTGGAATGTTGGTACCATTTGAGTTCCTTCTCACACAACATGTTAGCTATCTGTGCATTCGAATGATTCTTGATCTCGATTTCATACTCAGATAGAGGTCTAACCTCTGCCAAAGCTTCTAATTCATCGATGGTAGATGAAAGACGAAGCTTCTCTTTTTTGAGGATGCCCACCGTATGCCTAGCCCAACCACCAAGGAATTTACGTAATGCAAGCATTTTGTTATTCCATCTGTGTATTGGAGTAGACCCGACCACTGATTTCTCCCACACCTGCTTGACCATGTCATGGAAGCCATCCCAAAGCAACCACCCAAGTTCGAACTTGAACTTGCGTCTATGTTGTGGTCGTGGCAAACCAGTTGTTAGGAGAATGGGTGTGTGGTCTGATATAGCCTCGATACGAGGTAGAGCACGAACAGACACCATAGGAAATTTTGATTCCCAATCGGTATCCATTAAAATGCGATCTAGTTTCTCATATGTCGGTTTCGGAAGACTGTTCGCGCCAGGATTTCTGGAATATTGGTGTATTTATAGAGCAAAGAGGTGGTGCGGGAGGCCGCCGAGGTGGGCACAACCCACCTGGGCGCTCCTGGGCCCCCAGGCGCACCCTGATGGGTTGTGCTCCCCTCGGAGCCCCCCTCTGGTACTTCTTTGGCCCAACAGGTGTCTTCTGGTCCAGAAAAAAACTCCAAAAAGTTTCGCTACATTTGGACTCCGTTCGGTATTGATTTTCTGCGAAGTAAAAAATAAGCAAAAAACAGCAACTGGCACTAGGCACTATGTCAATAGGTTAATCCCAAAAAATGATATAAAGTTGCTATAAAATTATTGTAAAACCTCCAAGAATAATAATATAACAACATGGAACAATACAAAATTATAGTTACGTTGGAGACGTGTCAATGCGCTACTTCGTAAGGGACCGATTTGGATCCCAAAGTCTAATGGTATGGTTAGATTTTATCTTAATAACTTTCTCATAGTTGCGGATGCTTGCGAGGGGTTAATCATAAGTAGGAGGTTTGTTCAAGTAAGAACAACACCTAAGCACCGGTCCAACCACATATCAAATTATCAAAGTATCAAACATGAATCAAACCAACATGGTGAAAGTGACTAGATGAAATTCCCGTGTACCCTCAAGAACGCTTTGCTTGTTATAAGAGACCGTTTTGGCCTGTCCTTTGCCACAAAAGGATTAGACTACCTTGATGCACTTTATTTACGATTACCGTTACTTGCTCGTTACAAATTATTTTGCTATCAAACTACTCGTTACAGACAATTTCAATGCTTGCAGAGATTACCTTGCTGAAAACCACTTGTCATTTTCTTTCGCTCCTCGTTGGGTTCGACACTTTTACTTGTCGAAAGGATTACAATTGATCCCCTATACTTGTGGGTCATCAAGGCTCTTTTCTGGCGCCGTTGCCAGGGAGTGAAGTGCTCTTGGTAAGTGGAAATTGGTAAGGAAAAAATATTACTACATGCTAAAATGTATTGTCACTTGTTACTATGGAGAATCATCCTTTGAGGGGTTTGTATGGGGTATCTTCACCATAGTCGGAACCACAATTAGTTGCCCCTCAACCTACTGCACCTACTGAAAATATTGTTTATGAAATTCCTTCAGGTATGATAGAACAACTGCTAGCTAATCCTTATGCAGGAGATGGAACTGAACATCCTAATTGTGTTACATGAAATTCTGAAGATTGGGAACTCGATGAAGGTAAAGAGTTGGGTATTAAGCTTGAGTTTGATTGTGTTAAATCTTTTATGAATAGCGATGTTTTTCACAAGTTTAGCACTAAATATGGACTTGACTATGAGATAGTAGCCTCTTTTTATGAATCTTTTGCTACCCATGTTGATCTCCCTAAGGAGAAGTGGTTTAAGTATCATCCCCCTATTAAAGAACAAATTAAAGAGCCGGTCATAGCTAAAGAAGAAACTATTATTTACAATGTTGATCCAGTTGTGCCTACTGCTTATATTGAAAAACCACCTTTCCTTGTTAGGATAAAGGAACATGCTAAGGTTTCAACTCTGGTTCGCAAAAGTAATATTCGAGCACCTAAACCTGCTGAACGAATTAAAGTAGAACCTAGTGTTGCTATGGTTACAGATCTCCTGGTAGAAAACATTGATGGGCATGTTATTTACTTCTGTGATGAAGCTGCTAGAATTGCCAAACCCAATGAAGAAGATAAACATAGACATGTTGTTGGCATGCATGTTGTCTTAGTTAAAATAGGAGATCATTGTTATCATGGTTTATGTGATTTATGGATGCCCCTCAGTGTCATTCATGTCCTCAGTGTTTATGGATGAATGAGCTGTCTTCTGTTGGTTTCGGTACTCTGTTTTATGTCTGGAATCACTGGAAGTCGATCATAATCAAAGTACTATCTCATCTTCGCTGCACCGATGGTGCATAATTAAATGATTATGCAGTTATGTACGAAGATCTTTGTGCCAAGTATTTTGGGTTGAGGAAGGATGGTGAAATTTACAGATATGTGGTGCTTAACGTGAATGCAAGTTGGCTTTCTACTGCTGGCAGAAATTCTTTGCAGGAAGATGGCAACAGTGTCCTTAAGATGTTCGGACCACCTTCCTTCCATTGTTAGCAAGACCTAGATGCATTAGCCGTCTCATCTATAGGAGACAACCTTAATACACACACCAACATCCGGATTTGGTGAACAGCTTGGATGTATCCATGGGGTCAACGATCTCAGAGCCCCAGCTTTGTCTTTGCATCTCAAATGACATAGTCATGGCTCATATCGCATCCAACGACCATATTGCTCTAGATATTGGTGCTGCCGCCTCCAGGGTCTTTTAGATTGTGAATAATTTATGGGATAATTGGTTTTATGCCCCTAGTTGGGTCACACTTGGCTGGTTTACCCCTAGTTTCCAAAAGCTCGCGTTCCTGCCCAACCATTTTGCTTGTCTTATGTTTTTGCCCTTTGACCGTTTGACCGTCATTTTGAAAACTTCATAACAAATTCATACTAATTCAGAAAAATGCAAATAAGATGTCAAAATGTTCAAAAACACATCATCTATATGTGCATGCCATTTGCATTAATGACAAAGTGTTCGAAAGTCCCCATCACCTATATTAGCTAAAATTGAGACAAGGACTTTCCAACACTTTTCTTATGAATGCAAATGTCATGCAAATATAGGTGATGTTTTTCTGAACATTTTGATATATTATTTGATTTTTTCCGAGTTAGTATGAATTTGTTATGAAGTTTTCAAAATGATGGTCAAACGATCAAAGGGCAAAAGCATAAGACAAGCAAAATGGTTTGGGCAGGAACGCGAGCTTTTGGAAACTAGGGGTAAACCAGCCGAGTGTGACCCAACTAGGGGCATAAAACCAATTATCCCATAAATTATTCACAATCTAAAAGACCCTGGAGGTGGTGGCACCAATATCTAGAACAATATGGTCATTGAATGCGATATGAGCCATGACCATGTCATTTGAGATGCAAAGAGAAAGCTGGGGCTCTGACGTGACCGTTGACCCATACATGAGCCCCAGTTCACAGTCTTATAGGCTTCCTGCATCATGGATACGTCCAAGCTGTTCACCAAATCCGAATGTTGGTGTGTGTATTAAGGTTGTCTCCTATAGATGAGACGGCTAATGCATCTAGGTCTTGCTGACAATGGGATGATGGTGGTCATCTATGGTGACATTGTCATGAAGTTAGTCGAGGCGGTCATACATTGGTTATTTTAGAGGGGAGGGTGGGACTTCAGTTTTAACAGAGAGGACCACCATCATGTTGTGAGCCTGTCGGCTCTTCTTCGGGCTTGCAATAGGATTGGTTCCAGAGGAGGAGGATCCATCGGTCTAGGTTCACTGCATAGGCTTAGAAACATGGTTCGGCTGACAGTTAGGTGGTAGATTTTTTCTAACATCCATCCTAGGTCTCTATCAGGAGAAATTGTTTTGATGTAGTTGGTTTCAATTTTTGATTATTTAGTTTGCACTATGTTTAATGTAACTATATATGTAGAATTCATGGTTAGAATTTCAATAAAGAAAAAAAAATTATGCTTCATAATTCACATTAGATACATTTCTGACGAACTGCTTGTGATAATAGACTTCAATAGCAAACCTTTTAGATGCAACAGATGGTATAAACATATGTGATGGTGGTTATCAACAATTTGGAATGAACACCTATATGGTATGTGTACTACTCATCCTGTTGATGACAAACACAAATGGTATTTATAGTGTACACGCAATGTTAACATTTGCAACATTTTGATATGCCATGTAAAGAATAAGTTAACCACTAGCTAATAGCTTTTTTTTAGAAAAGGAGGATTACGCCCGGCCTTTGCATCTGGGCGATGCATGCAGTCATTTTATTAATTATTCACAAAGACCTTACAAAGTAGTACATCAGTTTGTCCGAAGCCACCATCTTAGCAACAACTTTCGCTATTCCTAACCACTTGATGAAGGGGTGTCGATAGTCCGAGCCTAATACCAGCTAATAACTATAGTACATGCAAACATAATTCGTAATTCTCCAAACTTCCTGCAATAAGTTATACTAAGATAGGAACATAGCAACTTAAAGAACATTGAATTATTCAATGGCAAGTGGATCAACGTGGAAAGCTTGCTGATAGTAGGAGTGACTGCTCGGCGCTATACTGCCTACTATTTTCGTCATTGTTGTTGCTTATTTGAGCTAGTGTGCAGTTTAGCTCAGCAGAACGCCCTTTTTCGGTATTTTTATTTTCTACTAACAATCTTTCCAGTGCCATCTCCACTTGTCTCATGGTTGGCCTCTCATCACCCTTCAAGTTTAGGCATCTTGATGCGAGTGTTGCAACCTCTTTTGCACCCTCCAGACACTCCGAGATCATTTGAGGATCTAATATCTCACATAACTTATCCTGGCTTATTACCAAGTTGAAATGTGCAATAAGGCTTGTGCCTTCTGAGTGCATGAAAGCGGATGGTTTTTTTCTTGTGAGCAACTCCACAAGTATGACTCCGAAGCTGTAAACATCACTTTTATCAGTCAACCTACTTGTTTGGTAGTACTCGGGGTCTAGGTACCCAAATGTACCTTGGATGGCAGTTGTCACTCCTGTTTGATCGATAGGGATACCTCGAGAGGCTCCAAAATCTGATACTTTAGCAATTAAACGATGGTCAAGTAGAATGTTGGCAGATTTAACATCTCTGTGTATTATGGATGTCAAAGCAGATGAGTGCAAATAGGCCAGAGCACTTGCGGTGTCAATAGCAATCCTCAATCGATCCTGCCAAGACAAGGATAGGGCATCTTCAACATGGAGATACTCAGAAAGAGTTCCGTTTGAGATGAATTCATAAACCAGCAATGGGACTTGTGTCTCCAGGCAGCATCCAAATAGCCTCACAACGTTTCGATGGTTAATTTGTGAAAGGATGGCAACCTCGTTTATGAAATCTTCAATTTCTCTTTGGATTGTAATTTTTGATTTCTTGATGGCAACCACATCTTGATTTGATAGTATACCTTTGTAAACAGTACCATGGCCACCACCACCAAGTTTGCGGGCCTCATCAAACTTGTTTGTGGCCTTCTCAAGTTCTTCTAAGCTAAATATCATCCTTTCAGCAATGTCCTTGTCCACCAATTGCTGTAACAATAGACCTCGGTTTTGCTTGAAGTACTTTGCTCTGAGCCTCTTAGCCTGTCGAGCCTTTAACTTGTGCATGAAATATATGATACCAGGCACTAGACAAATAAGGCTTATGCCACCGCCAACTGCTAGGCCCACAAATAAACCTGTGAAATGTGATAAAAAACCATATGAATTGTGAACATAATTGCGATTTTCATGTATGAAGATATTTTGGTACATTAGAATCTGCAATAAACTTTCTCCAAATTCAGTTTATTTGCGGTTAATGAACATGCTTAATGCTTATTTTTAAGCTGGCGTGAGAGAAAAACTAAAAATAAAAAGTAATGTGTAAGGTAAATCAAACCTCATTTTGGGACTGCTAAATGTAATATTCCAAACTATTTTTTGCGAGGGTAATAACCTGCGCCTATTCCATGGAAAAGTAGCAGCAGAAATAGGTGCAAGTTAGCCAGCAAAAAAAAAAAAACAGGACCGCAATATCTGGGGAATGTTCCTTGAGGACTTGTTTGGTTGTCAGTGATGTTAAAACCTGGGCAATAAACCCCCAACAGGGGATTTCCCTGCTCAGATCGGATCCCTGGGAAAAACTTTGTTGCTGTTTGGAGACCAAGGGAAAAGGGAGGAGAAATACTATAGAAACGCTCGTTGCAAGATCCGCCCGCGGAGGGAAGAGAAAGCCATCGCTGTGGAACAATTGGCGGAAGAAGTGGGATCGCTAGCGAAGGAGATCGAGGAGCGCCACGCTGTTGCCTCGAGGGTTTTCTGCCCGAACCCTACAGGCGTGGATTGTTTCCCTGTGGAAACGACGCGGATGGGGGAGGGAAACCCGTGGCGGGCCAGCGACCAAATGCGTCGTGGGCTTTCCCCGGGCTGACTTGCCCTGTGGCTTGCGCGCCCTGGTTTTCGACGGGGTTCCCGGGGGGATCCTGCGTAACCAAATGAGGCATGAGAGAGTTTTTTCCAACGAACGTCAAACTTGCCATGTGAATCAACTAAACTTGCCATGGTAATTTTGTAAGAATTGTCATGTTCGGAGGTGAAAACTGCCATGTAGTGCGTTTGAAAAACAGAAAAATTGTCATGCTTCATTGAAAAGATGCCATTCGTTCGATCGTGATCAGATGGCTTTGGTGGTGTCCCCTGAAATCTCCTCCCAGGGAACGTTCCCTAGTTATATTTCCGAAAAAACATACTCCCTCCGTCTAAAAAATCATGCCCCTTAAATGGATGTATCTAGCATCAAGTTAGTGCTAGGTACATCCATTTGAGGAACAAGCTTGGGAGTTGGGACAAGTTTTTCCGGAGGAGGGAGTAGTACATAAACTTGGAAAAATTTAGAAAGTGTGTTACCTATAGAGAGTTTTTGAATACACCCGTTTCTGATCCGGGGATCACCTTGCGTCCCCTCAGGACAAAAGCACGAAAATAACCCTGGTTTATTTCTGCATCCACCATAGCAGGAATATGCTTCCGGACGCGCACATTCGTCGATATCTAAATAAAACCATCAGAAACCAGTCAAACATATGCGTTGTACTATTTGTGATCAGTTCAATTACCAAATGATTCACATAATTCCATGTGTTTGGTTACGAACCTTGGCATCCATCTGGGATGTATGGGTTTCCCTCGTAGCCGGGCGAGCAGTGACAAGAATGACCGCTGCGAGACAGGCCTGTGGCGTCGCGGCAGAGGCTATTGCTGCTGGAGCAGGCAGTGCCGGAGCCGGGCGCGCCATCCCGGCCGGTACAGTCCGATTCACCGATGGTCCAGTCTAGAGTCGCCGGAACCACTGGTTTTTCCTCGTTCGGCAGCGGCCCGAGGTTGGTGGCGTTCCCATCGAACCACTCCGCGTCCGCTATGAACACAAGTCCCATGGCCGGAAAGAAGAAGGATGGCATCATGTCGCCCACGGGGGACAGCTGTACAGTGTAGGACGTGAGGCCTACGTAGATGGACGTCTGGCAGCAGCTAACGCCGGAGCAGTGGTCCATAGGTTGGGACGCCAAGGCCGGCAGCCCCGGGTTGCTGTTCACGTAGGCGCAGATGGACGTGCAGGCGGCGACGACGTAGCTGCTGTTACGCGCGTCCAGGAGGACGGCCTGCATGTTGCAGCCCCTGACGACGAGCTGGTTGCGTTGCCCCGTGAGATAGAAGGGGCCGGCGCCGGCGAGGCCGCTGCCCCATGTGCCGTTCCCTGTGCCGACGCCAGGGACGACCGTGCCGTTCGTGTCGACCACGCTGCTGACGCGCACCGTGGTGTTCTCGAGGGATATCTCGAGGACCTCGACGGTGCCGTCGCCCAGAAACAGCTTCGGCGGTCGGTGGGAGCCGTCGTCGTTGCATGTGAGGTTGAAACCGTCGAGGTAGCAGCCCGGGCCGATGCCGAACGGGTAGGGGACGGCCATGTCGCCGCAGGAGCTCGGGCAGCCCGGCAAGGCCATGTTGAGCGGGACAGCCGCTTCCCCCCACCCGACAGCTTGCAACCACAAGGCTACCACCACCACTGGCACAACGCGAGAGGGCACCATTGATTGATTGAATTTGATGGTTCAGCTACGTCTTTTGCTCCCCTTCAAGTTGCGCCCCGGCCGGGTTATATACACACACACCCTGCCTGCTGAACACTCCCTAAGCTGAAGATTTGGTCTTCTAACGTGCCCAAGCTGCCAAAGAAAAGTAGAACCATAAATGCATTCCGATGCTAGTAGACGGTCAAGGTACAGGTCGCGCTGGACTTTTGATGTTGCGGGGAGTTTTTTTCCTCATACCATTAAATAGGTGAGAGCTCAGCTGCCTTGATCGATGGGTTCACTGTAGGTTGACATGACTATTAGGCAGACTCTAAAGAACATGACTTGGTCAGTCCTGCTATGTGATATCTTTGGCTAAACTCAGGGGTTTCTTCTTTCAAATTGGTCAAAGTCAGACTTTTTTTCTTTCAGAAACGGGCGCTTTATTACTTAAAAGATTTAAGCATTACACTCGGCCTCTGCATAACTAAGATGCACATAGCCAAATAAAATCCTCTCGCACAAACGAAAAATAAAAAAGGCGAGATACAAAAAGATCCATATAACGCTTAAAGCGGAGGGGGGCCAACCCTAAGATCATGCTGTCACCCATATTGGGTAAAAGTATCCCTTACCGTAGCCTCTAATCGTGTACACACCTTCGTAAATAGGTCTCGATTCTCCACGCGTTGTAGAGAGGACCATAAACGAAGAGACTCGGTACATCTGTAGATAACCTGCATCAGAGAAATACTTTTACCATTAAAAACCTTATCATTTCTACATAGCCAAAGCAACCAAATAACGGCAAGCGCACCCACCCCGAGAAGAGTTCTAAGCTTGTGATCTATCTCATGTAACCAGTTGCCAAAAACATTAGCAACACTACAAGGAGGATACAAGTCAGAAGCTATTTGGATGACTGACCATATAGAACGAGCCAATTTGCATTGGAAGAATAAATATTTTACTATCTCATCATGGTGACAAAAAACACAATGCGGACTTCCATGCCAATTCCTCTCAATAAGGTTATCTTTAGTTAGAATGACTCCGCGACGAAGATACCATGCAAAGATTTTATTCTTAAGAGGTATCTTCATCTTCCAAATCTTCTTCTTATTATCAACTAGCACATCAGATTGGAGCAAAGCTCTGTACATGGACTCCACTGAGAATTGACCATTTCCATGTAGATTCCAACGAAATACATCAGACCCATATGACAATTGCACCTTGGACAACCGCTAGAGCAGGATGTTCCACGATTGGAGTCCGGGTCCAATTAAATCTCTTCTAAACGTCACATTTTGTGGGAATGATTCCATTACCATGGCGATTGTACCACCCTTGTGACGCACAATATTGCACAGAGCTGGATATTGTTCCCAGAGTGTGGCATTTCCTAGTCACTTGTCCTCCTAGAATCTAATTTCCGAGCCGTCCTTCATTGAGAAGGATCCATAGAAGAAGAAATATTTCTTCGTAGCCATTAGACCCGCCCAAAAGTGGGAATCCCCAGGCTTCCAATGTACTTGGGATACCGCCTTGAAACCACATATTTCCTCCGTAGGAGGGTTTACCATAAACCATCTTCTGTCAGTAATTTAAACAACTATTTCCCGAGTAGGGCCCTATTCTTAACCTCAAGGTCATGAATGCCCAACCCGCCTTGGTCTTTGGGACGACAAACCACACTCCATTTAGCCAGTCGATATTTCTTTCTCTCGTTATCTCCTTGCCAAAATAATCTTGATCGGAAATAATCCAATCTATGTAAAACTCCTTTCGGCAACTGGAAGAAGGAAATCATATATAGTACCATATTACTTAGTACTGAATTTATGAGGACCAATCTTCCACCCAGAGACAACAATTTACCTTTCCAACTGCTAAGTCTTTTTTGCAGTCTCTCCTCGACGTGTTTCCATTCAGCATTTGTGAGTCTCCAATAATGTATCGGTATCCCCAAATATGTGATCGGAAACTAGGCCCAACCCGCATCCGAACAGTTCAACATATAGGTGGGCCTCGTCTTGAGCGTCGCCAAAGCAAAACAATCCACTTTTATGAAAATTGATCTTAAGACCCGAGAGTTGCTCGAATGCTGATAAAATCAGTTTCATATTTCTCGCTTTCTCGAGGTCATGATCCATGAAGAGAATCGTATCATCGGCACATTGAAGTATAGAGAGACCACCATCAACTAGATGATTTACTACCCCGTCAATTTGGCAATCAACCTTGGTGCGCTCAATCATGACCGCTAGCATATCCGCCACTATATTGAATAGCATGGGCGATCCTGAGTCACCTTGTCACAATCCCTTCTTCGTTTGGAAATAGTGTCCAATATCATCATTGATCTTAATGGTAACACTACCTCCCGAAACGAAGCTATGGATCATAGCGCGCCACTCTGCAGAAAATCCTTTCATTTTGAGAGTCTGCTGAAGAAAGTGCCACTTCACTTTGTCATAAGCCTTTTCAAAGTCAATTTTGAGTACCACCCCATTCAAATTTTTCCGGTGTAATTCATGGACTGTTTCATGAAGGATAACAACTCCATCTAGGATGTGTCTGCCTTGCATAAAAGCTGTTTGTGAAGGACGAACCACATGTTCAGCAACCGAATTTAGCCTAATAGTCACAACCTTCATGAATATTTTAAAACTAAGATTAAGGAGGCAAATAGGTCTATATTGTTGTATCCTTTTAGCCTCAATAACCTTAGGTAATAAAATAATCTCACTGAAGTTTAAGCGAAACAATTCTAGTTGGCCAGCATGAAGGTCGCTAAACAAAAGTAGGAGATCCGGTTTGATGACTTCCCAGAAGTTCCGATAGAACTCTACAGGAAATCCATCTGGACCTGGGGCTTTATTATGCTACATTAGGAAAACCGCCTTTCTAAATTCCTCCTCGGAGTATGGGGCTGTTAGAAGGGTATTTCCACATGAGAGACCTGGGGGATGTCATCTATTCGGGATTCATCCATCAAGAAGTTTCCTTCCTCTAGTGCTCCGAATAGATTTTTGTAATAAGTAGTGATATAAGATTTAAGTTGCTTATGTCCCACAATCGTGCCCTCATCCGGTTGTAGTGAATGAATAATTTTCTTCCGGTGTCTGCCATTGGCGACTCCATGAAAATATCTAGTATTCGAATCACCTTTCAGGATAACTGAGAGTTGGAATGTTGGTACCATTTGAGTTCCTTCTCACACAACATGTTAGCTATCTGTGCATTCGAATGATTCTTGATCTCGATTTCATACTCAGATAGAGGTCTAACCTCTGCCAAAGCTTCTAATTCATCGATGGTAGATGAAAGACGAAGCTTCTCTTTTTTGAGGATGCCCACCATATGCCTAGCCCAACCACCAAGGAATTTACGTAATGCAAGCATTTTGTTATTCCATCTATGTATTGGAGTAGACCCGACCACTGATTTCTCCCACACCTCCTTGACCATGTCATGGAAGCCATCCCAAAGCAACCACCCAAGTTCGAACTTGAACTTGCGTCTATGTTGTGGTCGTGGCAAACCAGTAGTTAGGAGAATGGGTGTGTGGTCTGATATAGCCTCGATACGAGGTAGAGCACGAACAGACACCATAGGAAATTTTGATTCCCAATCGGTATCCATTAAAATGCGATCTAGTTTCTCATATGTCGGTTTCGGAAGACTGTTCGCGCCAGGATTTCTGGAATATTGGTGTATTTATAGAGCAAAGAGGTGGTGCGGGAGGCCGCCGAGGTGGGCACAACCCACCTGGGCGCTCCTGGGCCCCCAGGCGCACCCTGATGGGTTGTGCTCCCCTCGGAGCCCCCCTCTGGTACTTCTTTGGCCCAACAGGTGTCTTCTAGTCCAGAAAAAACTCCAAAAAGTTTCGCTACATTTGGACTCCGTTCGGTATTGATTTTCTGCGAAGTAAAAAATAAGCAAAAAACAGCAAGTGGCAGTAGGCACTATGTCAATAGGTTAGTCCCAAAAAATGATATAAAGTTGCTATAAAATTATTGTAAAACCTCCAAGAATGATAATATAACAGCATGGAACAATACAAAATTATAGATACGTTGGAGACGTGTCAATGCGCTACTTTGTAAGGGACCGATTTGGATCCCAAAGTCTAATGGTATGGTTAGATTTTATCTTAATACCTTTCTCATAGTTGCGGATGCTTGCGAGGGGTTAATCATAAGTAGGAGGTTTGTTCAAGTAAGAACAACACCTAAGCACCGGTCCAACCACATATCAAATTATCAAAGTATCAAACATGAATCAAACCAACATGGTGAAAGTGACTAGATGAAATTCCCGTGTACCCTCAAGAACGCTTTGCTTGTTATAAGAGACCGTTTTGGCCTGTCCTTTGCCACAAAAGGATTGGACTACCTTGATGCACTTTATTTACGATTACCGTTACTTGCTCGTTACAAATTATTTTGCTATCAAACTACTCGTTACAGACAATTTCAATGCTTGCAGATATTACCTTGCTGAAAACCACTTGTCATTTTCTTTCGCTCCTCGTTGGGTTCGACACTTTTACTTGTCGAAAGGATTACAATTGATCCCCTATACTTGTGGGTCATCAAGGCTCTTTTCTGGCGCCGTTGCCAGGGAGTGAAGTGCTCTTGTTAAGTGGAAATTGGTAAGGAAAAAATATTACTACGTGCTAAAATGTATTGTCACTTGTTACTATGGAGAATCATCCTTTGAGGGGTTTGTATGGGGTATCTTCACCTTAGTCGGAACCACAATTAGTTGCCCCTCAACCTACTGCACCTACTGAAAATATTGTTTATGAAATTCCTTCAGGTATGATAGAACAACTGCTAGCTAATCCTTATGCAGGAGATGGAACTGAACATCCTAATTGTGTTACATGAAATTCTGAAGATTGGGAACTCGATGAAGGTAAAGAGTTGGGTATTAAGCTTGAGTTTGATTGTGTTAAATCTTTTATGAATAGCGATGTTTTTCACAAGTTTAGCACTAAATATGGACTT